AGATGAGCAATGTCTGTATGTCTGGGAGGCGTCAGAGACATATTATCACCAGGCTGAGACTTTCTCATGACTATGAGGCTTTTGAGATAAGTGAGCTGAGGATAATTTTTTCGGTACGCAACTCAATGTTATTTAACAGTCTATCTATTTTTACTAAAAATTATCTAGCGTGCCATCTAAAATTACTTTGTGATCCATTATGGGTCTGTGTCTCTGGCAGAAAGAATTAGTGTCCTCAGAATATCCATGGACTTCTCTGAGTGCCTTGGCTTTTTTTGCAGATGGTGAGGGTCATGGGAACAGCCTGTGGGTGGGAATGCTGTGCGTCACTTTGGGCTTGTGACAGCTGAGTGCTAGATGTTTCCTCCATGTCCTTCCTGCCTGTCAGACACCAAAGCCGCAGTGACGTCAGCCTTTGCACAAGTGAGAAGTGAATGTTTTGCATCAAAGCACTGAGATCCCGGGGCTCACTTGTTACTGCAGCCTGGCCTCAGCTGGATGTGTGAGTGTGTGGCCCCCAGTGGGGGAAAGAGAATGGCTCCAAATTTAAGATGGCTTGGCTTACAATTTTTCTTTTTTCTGAATTAATTAAGTTTATTTGCACCTCTTGGATATACATAGAGATCATGTTCATGATAGAGAATTTGTACCTGTGCATGATATAACTTGATTCTCTTTTTCCCACTCCCCTACCCTCCCTTCAACAACACTACCCCTCCTTATTTACAAAAGCTTTGTTTCCATTTTTTCCTTCGTTTCTCATTTTTATTCCTTTCCCATCTTCCCTCCCCCCTCCCCCCTCCGTAGTTCTCCTTCCCATTTGAACATTTTTTTTCCTGTTTCATAATATTACACATTTTGGTCCTTATTTACATTTTCACTTTTTTCACACCAGAGAAACAATGTGATATTTACACATGTGTCTGATTTAGTTCACGTAAGGGTATGGCTCCAGGTGCATCCAATTACCTAGAAATGTCTCAAGTTTATCCTTTGAGGATGAGTAGTACTCCACTGTATAAAAACAAGCCACATCTTCTTTAGTCATTCATCAGTTGATGGGCATTTGGACTGTTTCTAAGATTTAGCTATTACAAGCTGTGGTGCTATAAACATGAGTGTACCTATACTGCTGTGGTATGTTTTTAATCCTTTTGGGAAGACTCCAAGAAGGGGAACAGTTGGAGTGAATGGAACTTCTAGTTTTAGATTTTTGAGGAATTTCCACACTGATTTTTACAGTGGTTGTACCAGTCTACACTCCCACCAACAGTGGAGAAGGATTCCTTTTTCCAGCATTTGTTACTGATTTATTTCTCGATAACAACCATTCTTTCTGGAGTGAGATGGAATTTCAGCATTGTTTTAACTTGCATCTCTTGAATGACCAGTGACCTTGAACATTTTTTTGTATATTTATTTGCCATTTCTACTCCTTCATTTGAGATGTATATATTCATCTCAGATGCCCACTTTTGTTTGTTTGTTGTTTTGTTTTTTCTCCGGTACTGGGAACCGAACTCATGACCTTGCGCTTGCCAGGCAGGCGCTTTGCTGCTGAGCTAAATCCCCAGCCCCTCAGATGCCCACTTTTGGATTGGGTTTTTAAATTTGAGGGGGCTAATCTTTTTGAGTTCTTCATATATTCTAGATATTAGTCCTATGTCTGAGGAACAACCGGAAAAATTTTTTTCCCACTCTCTGGGGTACCTCTTTACTCTGTTGGTGGTTTCTCTTGCTGTGCAAAAGCTTTTTAATAAGATGAAATCCCAGTTGCTGATTCTTTGTAATATTTCCCATGTGATCTGGGATTTGTTCATAAAGTCTTTGCCTCCACCTATGTCTTCAAGAGTTCTACCTATTTGCTCTTCCAGCAGATTTAGTGTTTTTGTTTTAATATTTAGATCTTTGATCCATTTTGACTATAGTTTAGCTCATGATGAGAGCTATGGGCCTAGTTTTAGTCTTCAGCATTTGGAAAGCTAGTTTTTCATGCACCATTTATTAAAGAGGTTATCTTTCTTCTACTGAAGGTGTCTGACTTCTTTGTTGAAAATAGGTGGCTGAGTGTGTGTTTGGAGTTGTTTCTGCATCTTCTAATCTGTTCCATTGATTCTTGGGTCTATTTTTTGCCAGTACCATGCTGTTTTTACCACAGTAGCTTTGTAGTATAATTTCAAGTCAGGAATTGTGATGCCTCTTGTCTTTTTGCTCAGAACTGATTTTGCTATTCTAGGTCTCTTCTGGTTCCAAATAAATTTTAGGATTGTTTTCTCTGATTCTATGAGGTATGCTATTGGTATTTTGAAAGGGATTATATTAAATCTGTATAACAGTTTTGGGAGCATGGCCATTTTAGCCATGTTGGTTCTTCTTACCTAAGAGCAAGGGATATCTTTCCATTTTCTGATATCCTCTTCAATCTCCTTTTTCAGAGTACTGTATTTTCACTGTATAGATCTTTCACTTCCTCTTTTCGATGGATTCCCAAGTATTTCATTCTTTTCAATGCTAAAAGGAAGGTGTGGTTTCCCTAATTGCTCTTTCAGTGGCTTTGCTATTTGTGTACAAGAATGCTATTCATTTTTCAGTACTGAGTTTGTATACAGTTACACTGCCAAATATGGTTATTAAGTCAAGAAGTCTTTTGGTGGGGTTTTGGGGGTCTTGCATGTAGAGTCTATTTCCTCTATGTCTCTCTTTCCTGCTAGACACCAAGGCCAGAGTGACATCAGGCTTTGCACAAGTGAGAAATGAATACTTTGTGTCAAAGCGCTGAGATCCCAGGGCTCATCTGTCACTGAAGCTCGGCGTCAGCTGGATGTGTGAGTGTGTGGCCCACAGTGGGGAAAAGAGACTGCCTCACAGCTCAAGATGGCTTGGCTTACAATATTTCAACTTTACAACCGTATGCGAGTGACATGCATTCAGTAGAAACTGCACATCAGATTTTACAGTTTGATCTCTTCCTGGGCTAGTGCTATGGGGTGTGATACCCTCGTGAGAAGCTCCTGGTCAGCCATGCTGTCGCAAGCAAACAACCAGGACTCACCTGTGCACTGTGCTGCCAGGCGTAGATTGTGCTCTGTTTTCAAATCCCATCAAATCTCCAAAATACCCATCTTCATATGTACATGAGATACTCAGCACTTTATTACTAAATCATGTTCATGTTCAATAATTTTCCCTTCCTGTAGGCTAGTGTAAGTGTGCTGAGCAATTTTGCTGTTGAGACAGGGTCTCACTGTGTAGTTCAGGTTGGCCTTGAGTTCACTGTGTAGCCTAGGTTGGTCTCAAACTCACAGCGATCCTCCTGCCTCAGCCTCCCAAGTGCTGGGATTACAGGTGTGTGACACCACACTCAGCTATGCTGAGTACTTTCAAGGAAGGTGAGGCTTAAGCTGTGAGATTTGGTAGCGTGGCATATTAAGTGCATTTTCAACCTACAATATTATATTTCCAGCTGTCTTTGAGGAGAACCTGCACTACCTTTGAAAACCTATATGAAGATTGAATCTCCAGAATCACTGGGTCCTGACCATTTGGGTCCCTTATTTTCTTTTCCTTTGTGTTGGGATAGTTTTGCAAGGGAGAATATAATACAGGACACATATTTTATAAGATTATAATAGTCACCTAAGAATCATATACAAGAGAGTACAGGAAATCTGTCCACCCACTATAGTGTCCTGCAGGGGTAGGACACTCACTTCCTCTCAATGTGGTCCTATCCATCTACGAGGAGCTTCATCTTGTGATTAATTGACATCATTTGCACAGCTGGCTGTCTCCACATATCCCCACCTATAACCCTGCAGAACTTCTGTCCCAGGCCCAGGACAGTCCTGAGAGGCTTCTTTGTAGTGGGCTCATCCAAGTTGCAAGGGAGACATCTGCCTATGGAGGGGCCTGGCACATGCCATGAGGTGGACATGACTTAGAGCACCATTCAGGTGTGCAAAGAATATCACTCCCTTCAGTAACTCAGCTCATCATAACTTTCAATTCAGACCGATTCTCCCGGGTGGTGGGAAATAGATTTAGAATTGTATCTTTTTACTGGATGCTGCCTCTAAGTTCTGCAGGAGGTTGCCATCAGGGTTACCATCCTTCATCCACAAGGAGTCAGGGAGGAGCTGCCAGGGAAGCTAGCAAGAGTGGCAGCTGCAGGAAATGCCAGCAGCTTTCATCAGAGGGACCCAGCCACTGCCACCCACAGCCTCTTGGAGAGGAATGTTGGGGAGTCAACCTCCACTCCTCTCTCTTCTTACTTGATGGCACCTATTGGTCAAAGGAACCCAGGGGCAAAGGGCAGAGGGCAAAGGGCAGAGGACAGAGGGCCAAGGTTGGTTCAGTCCCTGTGGGCCCGCCTTTAGACATGTGTCAGCACAGGTGGCGATGTGGAGTAGCAGTGTGCTCTTTATTCTCTGGAGGTTGACAGCTAGTGAGTGATCTGAGCTGGGGTTACACCTACTTCCCTGGCTGCCATCTGGGACTAGCTTGGGTAGCACCATAGTTTGCAGCTGCAATGTCTCCCTAAGGCCCTAAACGTGCTAAAGGCCTGGTTTCCAGCCTACGGTGCTGTTGGGAGGTGTTGGTGCCTTTTGCGGTGGGTGGGAGGAAGTTAGGCCCCTTGGGTGAGCCCGTGGAGGGAATCCTGGGAGCCCAGCCCTTTCTTCCCTCTCTGCTTCCTGATCACCGCGAGGCAGGTGACCAATCCCCCTGGCCATGTCCTCCTGCCATGATGTACTGTGGATGGGGAGGAGCCATGGGACAAAGGACACCACAAGCCCAGCCCGTCAGGACAAGCGTGTGTGAGAACTCTGCCCCCTGGACCTACCTCCTTTGTGACACTTGTGCCTCACAGGGAAAAGGATTGGAACCAGACCCTAAGGACAATCCTATGTGGCAGACATTTTTTTTTTTTTAGACAGGGTCTCGCTGTGTAGTTCAGGCTGGCCTTGAGTTCATGATGTCATTCAGGCTGACCTTGAACTCACAGCAATCCTCTTGCTTCAGCCTTCCAAGTGCTGGGATTACAGGTGTGCGCCACCATGCCTGGCCAAGATGTCCTTTTTGTAGGTGAAGGATTCAGGGACCAGAGGGGTTAAGCCATCCATTCTAGGCTGCACAGCTACCGCGCAAGGGCTCTGCCCCTGCATTTGAGTGATTCAAGAACACTGGGTGCAGAAGGACAGGGTGGGGCCTCTGGCCTTGGACCGCAGTCACAAGGTGGTGCTTGCACTGCCTGACAAGCTGTGCTCTGGAGACATCCGTGAGTGTATCACAAACGTGTACTGTGAGAGCAGAGTCAGGTGCGGTTTCAAAAGGTCCCCTAGTGGTTTTGAGCAGGAGGATGCCGGGGGTGGGAGGTGAAAGCACCGTCATCTCTGCCATGCAGGAATGTGAGCAGAGCAGGAGCTCAGCAGACTTTTTGTTTTTCACTCTCTTTCCTCCTTTGAAAATCTGGGGAAAGGGAAGGGCGAACAGCTATGAGCCTCCTTCATATATCCATTCTTTAATTCAACAACCCAGTCCTGAATTTCTAGCTTCTTCCGGGAAGGGCAAGTTACTTTCATCATCTCATTTAACCGCCCAAGTAAACAATTTGGCTAAGGTAGGCACCTACTTTGCCTCCACTTTGCAGACCAGAGACAGAGGCTCAGAGACAGGAAGTGGCTTGTTCGAGGTTACAGACCCACCCTGTCCTTTCCCTTGAAACATCCTACTGAGTGTTAGATCTGCTGGGTGGCAGGTTACAGAGTGGAATGGTTAGACACATGGGTACTGTAATCAAACTGTTCAAATGGTGGTTCTCCATTAACAGAGAGGTGACCTTGGTTTTTGCTTCTGTAAAATGGGTTAGTAATATTTCTATCTTCAAGGCCTAAAGCAAAGATTGATGGGAATGATTGATACACATGCCTGAGCATAGCTAGGGCTTAGTAAAAGGAGTATCAAGTTCAAGTGCCTTCAGGGAGACCCTCAGTAAGTACCTTTTCTGAGCCGCTGCTGGGCTCCAGGCGGGAAGGCCATGTGGGCTTGGCCTCTGAGTCCCCCGGACCCCTGGGCCCTGCACACAGCCAGGGTCATCAGGGACAGTGCAGGGCCTGCAGCCTGGGACCCCGTGTGAGCCTGGCTCCCAACACTTCCCAGCAGCTCTGTGTGAGGGCTGTTCTGGAGTCCACAGGGCAGTTTCAGGTGGGAGGGTGGGGTGGCAGCTCCAGGCTGCAGATTGGACACGAGTAAACTTGGAACAAACCTCTGGAGGACCTGTGCTACTCAGTTTTGCATCACTGTGAATACCTAGGAAGAACAATGTAAGGGAGGGAAGATTTATTTTCATGTTTCAGAGGGTTCAGTCTATGGTCACTGGGCCCGCGGTGAGGCAGAACATGGTGGGGAGCCTGTGGGACAGAAACCTGCTCACCTCATGGTGACAAGAAGCAGAGAAAAGGGGAGGGAGGGAGGAGAGAAGGGATATGTGGGGGGCAGAGGAAGGGAACCTAATAGAATCCCCAAAGTCACACCCTCCCTACAGCACACTCCCTTCAACTGGGCCCCCCTCCTAGTTCCAGCACTGCCCAATAATGCCATAAATTACCCTTCATCAATAAGCCAATCCACAGATGAAGTTAGAGCCCCCCGGATTCACTCACTTCCCTAATCCCGTGAGCAGCCAGGCTTTCCACACAGTGAGCGTTTGGGGCCCACTGTAGATAATAACCAATGTCTTCACTTGTAGGATGAGAGGAGCGAGCGTAGCGCGTACTTTTGGTAGTTGGGTGAATCTTTGGGGTCTGTGAGTTCTGTACGGGCCTTCAGGGCTCAAAACCCCGGCACGGCCACTTACTGGCCTTGTGTCTTAATATTCTGGGCCTAGGTTTTTGGTGGACAAAAAGAGCTCACCTATGAAAAGCGCCTGGCAAAGAGGGTGCCATGCGTGGGTCTCCGCCGCGACTCCACCCTCGGCCAGGCCTGGCTCCGTGCACCCTGGGGACCCTCTAAGCCACATCTCTGCTCCGTTGTCCAGGTTCTATCAGCGGCCACCGGGCTGCAGCAAAGAGCTTCTCTGAATTCTTCCAACGTGACTCAAGGAAAAAAAAAAAAAAGAAAAAGAAACCTTTCTTGGATTGTTGCCCGCGGCAGACACAGTTTAAATTAACTTAAACCATTTCCTTCCCCACCCCCACCTCGTGATCCTTTTCCTGGAGGAGCAGCGAGAAACACTTTTCAGGAAGGCGCTCTCCCGCTTCCGGCCCTCCAGCGGGCGCCAGGCCGGGAGAAGCTAAAGTTTGCATTGGGCGCGTCGCCCGGGAGCAGGGAGGAGGCGTTTAGGGGCGTTGCTAGGAAACGCGGGGTAGGGGCGGCTCCTGGGGAGGGACCGCAGGGTGCCGCCGCGGCAGTGCCGAGCGCCGCCGCCAGGGGGCAGCCGGGCCCGAGGCGGCCGAGTGGGATGCAGACCGCGTCTGCTGCGGCCCTCCGCCCGCGCTGCGAGCCGGGTCGACCGCCCCGACGACAGTGCACGACCCCGCCTCCCCTCCCGCCTCCCCTCGCCTCCCGGGAATTCATTAATGCGCCCTCCGTTCCTCCAAGCCCACGCGCCACTTTCCCTCCCTCCCTCCCGGGCTCCCTCCTCCCTGCTCCCCTCCGCACGCGGAGCCCTCCGCCCGGCGCGTCTGGGCACGTGGCCAGCCGGCTGCGGGGCTCCCCGTGGGCCGGGCCG